CCATCTTCTCTCCAGGGTGTTTTACAAGCTCCGCGCTACCGGAAGTGACGCGCCGCCCGAGACCCTGAACTAGACCGGGCTGCGTCGCCCCCCCGCGCCGCCGGCCGCCGGCCAATGGGAGGCGCGGGAGGAGCTCACCTGAGCGGGAAAGGCCACCTGAGCGGCGCGCGGCTCCAGGCGGAGACGGTTTCTGGGGTCTCACCTTGAGTGCTGCGCTTTCTCCCGCCGTCCTCTGTCCTGCACTTGCTAGTGCCGTTCCCGCGAGCTGTCTTTCATTAAAACACACCTTGACCTCTTTCTCCTAGGTTCCTGCCGCCGGTCAGGAGTAATAATTGAAAGGACATCTACCCTGAAGTTCATGGCATTAGTTTTCTTTCCATCCAGATTCTTGCTGCCAAGGGAGCTTAGAAGAGACTGAAAGAAATCCTAATGGCCAGACTTAGATGTGACTTCAGGTTGTGTCTTTTCAGTCTGTCTTTACGCTTGACTTAGCGTCCCCCCTCCCCCGCTCCCGCCTCCAAAGTGACTTTTTCTCACCGCTCTTTTTGACAAACCTCTCCCCTTCCAAACGGAGATCTGGAATACACCAGTCCAGATACCGTCTTCTTCAGCAGTGGTGGCTATGCATTCATCAGTTGATTGTAAGGCATTATTATTTTTTTCCTTTTTTGAAATCTGATGACCTTGGCAGGTCATCATTTCCAAAAGTGGAAGAGAGCCTGGTTCAGCTCCCGTAGCACAGTGGTTACACAGTGGTTACGGCGCCAGCCACAGACACCGAGGTTGGCAGGTTCAAACACGGCCCAGGCCAGTTAAAAAAACTGCAACATAAAAAAATAGCCAGGCGTTGTGGCGGGCGCCTGTAGTCCCAGCTATTTGGGAAGCTGAGGCTTAAGCCGAAGAGTTTGAGATTACTGTGAACTGTCACACCAGAGCACTCTACCAAGGGCAACATAGTGACACTCTGTCACAAAAAAAAAAGTAGAAAAGCTTATTATCTGCTACATTTGAAGACTGAAAGACATAACACGTCATCCTATTTATTTCCTTCTTCGCGCCTTGCCAATCAGTTATTTAATTATTAATAATTGCACTTATTTTAGAAATTATTTTATTTATTGTGTTATCCCTTAGAACTGTACACTCCATGCACAGAAGAACCTTGCCTATTATTAGGGACACAGCAGAAGCTCTGTAAACATTCCTTGAACGAATTAATGAATTGCGAAGCCTTAGTATGAGATGGGTATTTTGACGTGAGAACAGTACCATGTGAGGCAGAGAAAGCTGCACACAAAGTTGAAAAATAAAAGACCTGGAAATCCACCCCTCCCTTAGGAAATGATTCCGGGGAGGTGAAATTTGCCTAGTTTAGTAAAGTTCTCTCTCCTTCCATCCCCCCAAACTGCGGCAGAGCGGATACTTCTTAGGTATGTCAGTACTAGTAGCCGCAGTGCAGCTGCTAGTACAGCGCCTGACACACTGCACAGTATATATTGCTGAGTAAGTTATCTTACCTACTACATGACATAAATCTGTACAGGAAAAAGTCAGTTGAAAGCATACTGGCTTGGTGCCTGTGGCTTAAGCCGCTAAGGTGCTAGTCACATACACCTAAGGTGGCAGGTTTGAATCCAGCCCAGCCCGCCAAACAATAATGATAGCTGCAACTGAAAAAATAGCCAGGCATTGTGGCAGGCGCCTGTGGTCCCAGCTACTTGGGAGGCAGAGACAGGAGACTCCCTTGAGCCCAGGAATTGGAGGTTGCTGTGAGCTGTGATGCCACAGCACTCTACCCAGGGGGACAGCTTGAGGCTCTGTCTCAAAAAAAAAAAAAAAGAAAGAAAGAAAGAAAGAAAGCATGGATACTAGTTTTTCAACATCCTAAGTCCAACAGCAGAATAATACTTAGTAACTTTAATTTTTTACTTTTTCTAGCAAAAGCTCGCTATCTCCTCCAAAATAGCTTTTACATGAGGGGTATTTCCTTCTCCTTTGTCTGACATAAAGACTTGAAAATTTACAAGTGTTCCTGAATCTATGACTGTTACGGATTTATAAGAGTGTTTAGCACAGTAAATTATAGTGTCTATAATGATGATTGCCCAGAATTTATTGCCATAACTATTTGTGTGGGACTCAAATGATTATAAACTTACCACACTTATGTCTTAATGTAACAGAGTGGTGAAGCTGTGAGCTTTAGAGTTAAACAGAAGTGGCTATGGACACAGCCTTGTCTCTCATTTTTATTCTTAGTTTGACCTTTGTTTCATACCCTACTGGCCCTTCAGGTAGGAATCATAGAGAGCTGTTTGTTCGTCCTCTGATTTTCATGAATGTTTATATGTCCTCCTGGAAGGGAACCATTCATATTTTTGCCTGTTGACTTTGGGCAAGTTCCCGAACTTCTTTAACCTTGGTTTCTGAATACATAAAAGAAGGATGATGAGTCTTCCTTAGAAGGCTGTTTTAAGGATTAAATAAGATTTTTTTTTCTGCTTAATGCTTAGCATCCTACCTAATTCACAGTGTGCACTCAATAAATTTTAGTCGATAAGGTAAAGCTAAGCATGGCTTGCATCTGTTTTGGTAGCATGCCTCCTGAAAACCACATGTAAAACCATAAAGAAAATGTTGCTGCATAGATAAAAATAGAAATGGTTAAACTTTGGCCAAGGCCTTACATAATCCTTTATTTGGAGGCAGCAAAGTTTGGAATGACCTAAGAATCAAAGGTGTCCAATCCCCAAGTTATGTGATTTAGGGAAAATATTAGGCTCTCAGAACTTCACTTGGTTCTTTTTTTAAAATGTTGAGACTTGGTGCCCATAGCACAGTGGTTACAGTGCCAGCCACATACACCAAAGGTGGTAGGTTTGAACCCAGCTGGGCCAGCTAAAACAACTGCAACAACAACAACAACAACAAAATAGCCGGGCATTGTGGCAGGTGCCTGTGGTCCCAGCTACTTGGGAGACTGAGGCAAGAGAATCGCTTAAGCCCAAGAGTTTGAGGTTGCTGTGAGCTGTGACATCACAGCACTCTACTGAGGGCAACATAGTGAGACAGAAAAAAAGAAAGAAAGAAAGAAAAGAAAAGAAAATGCTGATATGCCTATAATCCTAGCACTCTGAGAAGCCAAGGCGGGTAGATTGCTGAGCTCACAAGTTCAAGACCAGCCTGAGCAAAAGCAAGACCCTGTCTCGATTTAAAATAGAAAACTTAAAAAAAAATAAAAATAGAAATAGAAAAACTGAGGCAAGAGGATAACTTGAGCCTGAGTTGGAGGTTGCTGTGAGCTATGACATCGCAGCACTCTACCCAGGGTGATGGCTTGAGATTCTGTCTCCAAAAAAAAAAAGGTAAAAACTAAAATATTTAACATTTTTTATTTTATCTTCTGAATATGACACACATCTTTTTAGGTGGTTTGAATTACAGTGGAACCTCTGTAAGTTAAATATCTAAGGAACTGTAACAAACTGGCCAACATAAGGACCAGCCATTGAGTACATGGGGTGCATGGCCAGTCTATGGCAAATAAGTCAACTTAAAAAGTTGGTCAATGTAGAGAGGTGGTCAGGTGCTACTGAATTGGGGGAATACCATAGAATTCATCTGATAACTCAAAAGGTAGGTTTTATTAGTCATCATCTTCTACAGATGAGCTGGAAAAAATTTCTTGATTCAAACCTCACAGTAGTCAAATGAGAAACTGAAACCCAGGACTTCTGAGCCCAAATTCCATGTTCTTTCCACCACACAATACCAACACTTGAATATATTACTGGAATCAGAAAGTAATATGTGTAAAAATAACTTAGTTCCTTGTTTTCTTGCCCACCCTATAAAGGAAAGAGTTGTCAGGGGGTGAGAAAAAGGACTAACCTTTGCAGTTCACCTGTTTCTTAGCTTTGTTGCTACATGTAACAACTGGAAGGAAAACTCAGCAACACAAAACTGATTATATCACTTGACGTTTTAGCAGATCAAAGAAGTAACACAGTATCATATTGATATTATCACTTAACTCCTCTTAAAGTGCCTCCAGGATGTGTTCCCTAGTTTTGATCTACAAAGTTACTGATGTTTATTTTCCTCTGTAATTGCTCAACCTCTATTCAACACTAGCACTACTTATAAAGGAAGAAGCCAGAATAAACAGGCTGAAGATATAACACCCTATTGAGAAATGTTGGACAAAATTCCCATCCTATGTTACAGCAAGAATTAGCCAAGGAAGTTTTGTAGTGAGAGCATCTGTTTTATTTTTCTATATATAATCCAAACAGGTGAGGAATAGTCATAGGATTCCAGTAAACAACATATGTGTGCCATGATTGATAATTACATTCCACTCTGTGCCAGTGAGTGAACTGCCTAAGTTATAAACTAAAAATCATGGAAAACATTTCACATCAATACATGATAGACAAGAATCTAGTCTCAGGTCTGCCGTTATCAACTGTAGCAATATTTTATATTGCCAAATAATCTACGGAGCATTTTCCTTATCTCACTTAATCTTTATACCAAACCTAACAGGTAGCTATAATTATCCAAGTTCTATGGACAAGAAAACTAAGGTTCAAGAAGGTTCTGACTCGGCACCTGTGGCTCAGGTGGCTAGGGAGCCAGCTGAGGTGGCGGGTTCGAATCCAGCCCGGACCCGCCAAACAACAATGATGGCTGCAACCAAAAAATAGCCGGGCGCTGTGGCGGGCACCTGTGGTCTCAGCTACTTGGGAGGCGGAGGCAGGAGACTCACTTGAGCCCAGGAGTTGGAAGTTGCTGTGAG